TGCCTTTCTATCTCTATTTTCTCTGGCTTTGGTAAGGCGCGATCGGGACGGGCTCTCATACATAATCCAAGAGTCGAGTGACTCCTCCGCGACAGCTAAACTCGTGAAACGCCACTTTTACCTCGTTGACAAACAGCCTCCATAGAAAATCGAAGGAGACGAGGGCTCGCGAAGAATAGCCGTTTAAAGGTGATCGCAAGCCCGTCCGTGGCTTCCGCTCGCTTTGTTAGGGACGCAGAGGAAACTCGATGGAAAATCGTTCCTTACTTAGGCGACTATGGGGGCGATACGTGGCCCTAAAGCGCGATCATTTTTATTTGTTTTTTTAAACTCCACTACTACCTAGCCTCACCTCAATTTCCTTAAAAAACTAATAGTTACCCTGACCTTAAAGGCTCGAAAGTGATGCGCGCGGGTGTGCGATAATAAATACCTCCGACCTCCCGCTGCACCACCATACGCACATTTCGAAACCGTTCCACACTTGACCAAAACGATGTTTATTTGCACTTTCTTAGAACAACGATATAAACGAGATTTTATCATTTATTATTACGCTGATTTATGAAATTGCTGCCCCAGCATAATAATCGATATCTCAGCTGTTCTAAATATTCAATTTCAAAAAGTATGAGAAAAGTTATGTCTATATATCGCAAATCTATATTCGTGATATATTGGCTATTCTGCCTGATAAATATTGACCTCAATAGATAATAAATCTAATAAGAATACTAGACAATCATTACAAAACAAATGTCTAGAAAAAAATATATCGATAGCTAATCGTTTGCCGCTCTTTAAACTAAATTATAAAGATTGTAATGGAAAGTAGCAAGAGGCTGTTTAAATATCATGGGTATAAGCACGGATGATAGGAGTCCCCCATTTGAGTCATTCTATTTAATATCGATCGATAATAATTTCACTTATTAGTAACGAAGGATCATTTTACGATTTAATGAGTAATTCATTAAATCATGACGAACACATTAAACTTTGTTAACATTTTTTTAGTTCTTAATAAAAAGTCTACACGCTCTGCGGTATAATATTAAATTATACAATGATTTAGTGAAGTATATTCTACAATTCATATCAATAACAAAGTATGTTTCTTTTAAGAGAAACTACAATTTAAGTCATAAAGCAACAGTTTTTTCTTTTACATATAAATATATATATATATATATATATATATAGATCAATATGACGTATGTACGTATCGATAGAAAGATAAATAAGAAAGTTAAATAAAAAATGACATTATATAAGAACATTTCTTTCGTGCGAATAACGTTGACATTTTATTTTTAATATAGTCGATAAATAAAGTATACGAGTATATAGTTCTATTTAAATGGTTTATCGTCAATTTTCATTGCCATATTATGAATATTATTCATTTCTAATAATTCATTTACAGTTTATTGAAATAAGTGAAAATATTAAAAAGTCTATTATACGCTTTACATTAAAGATTTATGACGAAACATAGAAGTAAATATGATTTACTTCGACGAATCATAAAATTTGCGTTTTCAAAAATATAGTCGCCTTACTGCTGTTAAGTTCATTCACAAAATAACTCTTACTATTAAATATTAAATTATCAGTTTTTTTTTTTTTTTTAATCAGGAGTAGCAAAAGAATCATGATCCACGTCAAACATTTGTGTAGTAGAAGCAAAAAATCATTTTTATTCATCCTTATTACTAACAAGAATATTCCTTATTGTTAAGAATATTGAAGATCTTTTTAATCTATAGTAAATATTTTTCAACAATTATTTCGAAATTTTATCGAAAGATATTGAAAAAAGGTTAAAAAATCTGCATAAATGTGTTTGTTAAAACAGAATTTTGACAGTGCATATAATTTGAAAAGTTTGAATTATAATGTTTCTTGAAAGAATGCAATACCATAATTATCTGTTTTTCAAGGTGAAGAATTTCAAAAAATTTTTGTATAAATCATGCATATTAATAACATTTTTTTAAAGAATATTATAAACAATTATAAATAACGCAAATACAAATGCTTTAATAATAGAAGATGTTCATGTATAAAATTGTATCTAATCTTTTATATATAAAAAAAAAAAAAAACAAGAAATACAAATAAATTAATAATGGTAAAATAAATTATTAAATAAAATATTATCTTTTTTCATATTATCCAATGCAAATTCATTTGTCAAACCTATTTTATTATTAGCTATTTTTTGTCTATTCTAACATCAAAGCTAACGTGCCATTGTATAGTGATAATTTTTGGCTGGTATACGTGTCAGATAATAACTGTTGTCCTGGACATTGTCGATTCCGAAGTTGAAAAATAAGAAAGCTTCAGCTAGCTTTTCCTATATACTGTGTATTTAAAATTATACTCTCCATTATAATAATTATAAGGATCTTCAATTTCGTGCAATATTTCTTTGTTCGCTATTTATAGGCAAAGTCCACAAAATTCAAAGTTGAATTATAGAATGTTATATTCATTAATTAAGAGTAATGTTGATTCCCAGAGATATAAAATATAAATGTTACGTTACGCAGGTTATTGAAGTTTTACATAAAAATTCCTATACCGTTTCAAATACGCTTCTCTAAATTTTCCAATAATTATATATTTATATAATTTACTTGAAAGATATGTATATAGGTGTAAATTTTAAAATGCAAAAAAAATTTTAAGCAAAAGTAAAATTCTAAAAATTTTACTGTGATAGAATAAATTTCACTCTTTCTATTTGTATAAGTAACGCCAACGCCATTTATGTATTGATACTAATGTTTTGTTAACGCAATAATAATATTACAATAAGTTCAGAAAAAATGCAGTCATTTCCGATATATATATAAACTCTTTTTTGCTTTTATTAACATTTCAACTCTTAATGATCAGTTTTGTTGATAATTATTATTTGCAAGTTATACGTATGTCAATAATAAATAATCTTCATGCAATATCAGTCGCGAAATTAGCAAAATTACTCCCTCCACGATAGTTTAAATCATACTTTCTATTATTGAAAGTATCGTAATTCATAGATTCGTATGACATTAGTATAATAAGAATGTAAAACATTAATGCGCTAAAAAATGATGACTAGAAGCTATGAAAGCTCAGGGATTGATTAATAATATCAAAACCTAAATACTTTCCACCACTTACCTTTCAAAAGGTATAAAATGAGTCTCTAGCTTATCAACAATATTTCCTACCAACCTTACGGCCAAACTCCAATACGCTAACGTGCCATCTCAACCTATTATAATTATGTTAACACGCGAACGGGCTGAACAAGGAGGTTGTTAACATACATTCGGTGCTTAAGCGTTGGCCGATCGCGTGCATGTGTCACGGGGTTAAAAAACGATGTACTGCGTCGGCTCCGTTTTTTCGTGATCGCTGCGCTTTCGTCTGCGCGGGCGCGCGTATTTGCGTGCAAGCGGAGCATCTCGCTCTTATCACTCGAGCAGCTTAAAGCACTTAGAAGAGGAGCAAAAGAAAGCAGGTTGCCGTCGCCTTTCATAGGCAATTGGCGCGTGTGTAAGATAGTCGCGGTTAATCGTCTCGTTGCTCCGCGTCGCTGACCTGCTTCTTTGCTTTAATATTCGCGTATATCCGTCGATCGCCGCTTCCGCATTGGTCGAGCGCGATCCAGGGATTTAGACGCCGGCGTCGCGGTTACCCGGGCAACCCCTGGCACCACAGACGACGTCCCTTTACAGGCTCAGTGCGACCATGGAAGCCGCGCCAGGGTGTTGTTGTGGGCTGCCACCGGCGCCAACATGAATCCGGCTGCCTTCAACTGCTGCTGCCTCTTGATCCTCACCACCCTGAGCCTTGGTGAGCACCGAACCTGGCATTCGCCCCCCCCCCCAAACCCCTCCTCCCTTCACCCATTTAACTCAATCTGTCTCTCTCTCTCTCTCTCTCTCTCTCTCTCTCTCTCTCTATATATATATATATATATATATATATATAAATATGTATCTGTATCTTTGTGTGCACGCGTGTACTTCCGAGCGCGTATGCAAGCAAGGATCGTGGGATGTTGAAGCTACGAGGATATTATTAGACTGTTTTGAATTTTATGTTTCTTAGAATGGCATACAGGCTTTAATAGTTCCTTGGTAATGTACAGGCGTTTCTTAACTGACTCGAAGCATAGTGAGATCGCGAGAAAGTAAATGGCCATATACAAAAATAGTCGCTTACAAAATCATACGTGTTAAGAATGAAATTTCTGGACTTAATTTATATTTGCCAATCTTTCTTCGGATGTCGGATCAATATTTGTACGTTAAAAAATGCAATTCCTTTTTCCCAGTAGAAAACAATTACTGCACTTCGTATTCCAATTATTTATTGTTTCCAATTATTTTTTATGTGTAAAACGATAAAACTATTATCTAAAAGTCCTTGACTCGGAGAAACATTTCCTTTAATGCTTTTTCTTTAAGCAGTCTCTTATAAATTTCGGCAAAGGCTTATTATAATTATAATAGAAATTGAGACGTTTATTTATAATGATAACGAAGCAAACTTTAGACAATGGGAAATGTTTATTGATGGAAAACTGAGCAAGTCCCACCGCTTTAAATGAATTGTTAAAGTCACGACAAACAAGATGAGTACGTATATCATAATTACTTCTAATTAAACAATAATCTCTAATATAATGAATATTCCATTGTCCTAGTTTAGAAAAACATAATAAATATTTTAAGCTGTAACTTAATACTTTAATATTTATTTTTAAGTAGCGTGAAAATTGGGTCTACCATTAAATGTTGAAATTAAATAAATTTAATAAATAATTCAAGTATTCAAATATTTCCTCGAAAGAGAATAAATAGTGCAAACGTGAGTAAAAGACGAAATGAGATAGAATTATAATATCGAATAAAATTTTCTATTGACAGAATCTTAATAATTGTTTATTATTAAGATATTCACTGTCAATTCAAAAACGACTGACCAGGGTATAAATAATTCTTTAATTAAAAGCGAGAAAATACGATTAAATAATCTATCGAAAAGTTTTTGAACTTTGATAATCATTGATAATAATAATATTGCAAATATGCTTTCAAATAATAATATATATATCTTATTTACTTCTGATTCTATCTTAATAATTATTTTGTACTTCGGCCACATTCAGTCCTTCGTACTAATTTGGTCATAAATGAACAAAAAAAAAAAAAAAAAAAAAAAAAAAAAAAAAAAAAAAAATAATAGGTCAAAATTATTTGTACTTCTATTGTATTGTAAATAATAATACCAAATTCTAAAATTCACAAAAACTGTCTGATAATATTTTAATAGAATTCGGATAAAAGCCTTAAATTGCTGGTAAAAAAAAAAACGAAAAATTGTTATATAAAAGTTAAACTGTTATAAAAGATTTTGAAAAAAATTTTTAATTAAAAATGTTGTTGAAAATTTACTTAAGACTTTTATGAAATTGTCGATTGAGTTTTTAATCAAATTTTAAGGCGAAAATTAAATAGTCGGTGTATTCATTAATATACAGAATATACAAAACAATTTTTTTTCATTTATTTATCTATTAATTTTTTTATTTTTTTTTTATTCACGTTTTATATTTAAGTTTTTTTGATTAAAGTGTATGCTATTGAAGTGTTAACCCTATTATAGAAATAGCATATTTTATGATTTGAAGTATATAATTCGCTTATAGCAGAAGCTATGTATTCAAGTTTATAAAGTAATAAGATTGATTCTGTAGCCACGCAAATCTCGACAAGTAAGAGCAGAGAGTAATAAAAGAATATAATAAAAATATTAATTTTGTAAAACGCGAATAGATACAAATGCAGTAATTATTTGCAGCTAAAAACAAGTACAAAGAAAATTGAAAAAATTAAAAACATAGCACAATTAGTGCAATCCATTTTATTTGTTTTATATATAAAATTCTTTTATTTGCTTTATAATTGCGAGCGCATATTATTAAATTATTAGTAAACGATTTTCCCATATTTATTTAATGTAGTGACAAGTAGCAAAGTAATCTAAAACTAAACCAATATTTGTCGCACGTTCAAGCCAATAACTAATCAACGTGAAAGCTCTCAACATGATATACATTGAAGATTAAGTATTATAATCATTGCGCAGTGAAGAGTCAATACAAATAATAGTATAATGGAAAATGTAACTAATCATAATAGTTCGATTTCTAAAAGCTTTGGTCTTAATAATGGTAATCTTGCATTTACAATCATCCTGCTGATTATTAGGAAAATACATTCTTTATCAATATATTTTAGTTGCATTACATCGGAAGCACGAATTTCTAATAACATACGAAAAAATATATTATTTAATATAAAGAGCATAAAATAAATGATTTTTTTTATATTTATGCCGCTAACATTTAACGTTTCTGAATTACATGCTGCACTCGGAGAAATTTTGCACGGGGATTCGACCTTCAATTAACCCTCTAAATTTGTCTCACGTATTGAAATTCATAGTTCGTATTGCAACAACCCAGTTAACTTCAGTTCCTCATAGAATAACCATGACAACAGAACGACAATCTGCGATTACCAGACGATCCTTTCCAGACTAACCATCGACCCTCCCTAAGTTCTGAAATATTGACATGGCCACGATATTGCAGGCAGTGCTATCGACTGTTTCAAGTGCGTTTCGATCGGCCGTGACAACGAGGCTTGCGACGACCCTTTCCACAACAACGGCAGCCTCGAGTTCCTCCAGTCACCTTGTCTCGGAGGTCGCAAGGGTCGCGACGGACTTTTCCCCGCCACCGCCTGCATCAAACTCGCTGGCGTCTACGGTGAGCTCAGGAAGCCGGACCGACTGTAGTTGCTCGGTTCCGATGTAATTGCACGCTCTGCACTAACGACAACATCGTTCGAGGCCGATAGTTTCGTAAGGGTACCGAGTTATATCCTAGGTATTTTCACGTGCGAGGATCGATTTCTTAAAATGCTCTCTTTAAATTATGTAAGCGACTGGAATCCCGAGAGAACCATTAACGTGCACGGCTTAATTATGCATATTTCTCGGTTTCGCAAAGTAGCCATAATTTCAATATTTAATTGAAGTCCCAGTGTAAGAATAATTAACAGTTGGGAACGGCGTGATCTGCGGAGGCATGAAACGATAAAAATCTTTATGCAGCTACTGATAATCGTGTGATTGGCGATGAGACGCGATTTCGGATAGATACCCGCTACGGCACCATGACAATCCATCACCTACAAGCGAATTAAGTCTTGGGGTGAAATAGTATTAAGCTATTAATGAACAAATTGAAAACTGATCTAATTTACAGCCGATACTGGTGTTTCGTTGACGGTGCGTAGCTGTGCCTTAGACAGTGGAACATTAACGACGGATTCCGAATTAATAAGAATGTCCCACTGCGGTGGATTTTACTTTGAAAACAGGTAATTCCAAAATCTATATCAACTCCCAATCGACTTAGCTTTAATATCTTAATTTAAAAAAATGCTACCCGAAGCTCCTCTAAAAATCTTGCATTCTTTCAGCACCATACTTTTTAACGCGAAAGATTTTCTTTGATGAATCCTCAGCAAATTCAAAATAATATTGTGTCTTGCGCGTCGTGAAAGGTGCGCTAACATTGCAACACTCGCTACTACGTGCGGTTACTACGCGAATTGCGGTCATGCTCGATATTAAGCGGGTTTTCGGTCTAAAGGAATCTCGTGGTGAATACCGACCGACGCTGGCTCAATAGCATTATCATTAATTTCACGAGGTGCATGATAAGCCTGCGTCCCAATAATTTTCCATTTCCACCTATTAGCCCGCAATATCACACGTAACGTATACGGTAACGAGTGAGGACACCAACTACTAGCCACAAGCGCGCGCACCTATCCAGCGACTTTCTCCTACTATCAAGCGCAAATGTCGTACTTTCAGGTATCTGCGTGGCTGCGTGCAATCATGCAGCGACGCCGACGCTTGTAATGCATCCCGAGGTCGTGGAGCCTCGGGACTCCTACTGCTTGCCGCCGTCGCCGTCGGCCGCGAGATGACACGGAGATGCCTTCGAATGTGCGCTTAGGGCGACCTCAGCTGCGATTTAAAATCTGGACTTGGTCGTCCGTCTGGTCAGGGGAAGATTTGAGTGATGAAACTCACATTGTAGATGTGATCGGGGATTCTCAATCGACGTGCCCGTGCAAGTCTGTTTGATAATACAAAAACACGCGCTTTAAATTATGTTTAATGGAGGAATACGCGTTTGTATGTAAAGGCCGAACTTTCCCTCGAGAATGTATTGGAGATGGTGATGAGTATTTGAATATCTTTTGTGTAATTCGAACGTTGGTAATTATGTTTTTGAATTGCAAAAATTGCAAAAAAATTAAACCTCTACCTGTACTTTTATGCGTTTATTCGTTTTGGATTTTTGTAAAATTATTTGTGATCGCTATTGGTGTTGTAAATTTTATGAAGATAGAAGTCGAGGTTAAAACTATTTTTGCTTGAACTATATTTTATATAATTTTATTCTATTGATATCGGGGGATCGAGCAAATATTAAAATTTGATGTAGATTAGAAGGGATTATAATGGGAATTAGTATGTGCGTTATTTTTATGACAGATTATAAATACATTGGATATTAAGAAGCTGTATCGTTATCAATATTCAAGATACATTTTATTTGAAAGACTACGATTAATGAAAATAGTCATTATAACTAAATACCGGAGTAAAATCTATGTTGACGAAATACTGCCTTATTAGATTATTGTGATAATTAACATAATTAACGTTTTATTATTACAATATGAAAATGTTAGCTCTCGCGATAGTCAATTAATCCACTTAATTGACTAAATAAACTTTTCCCAACTATTTGGTTTATAAGCCTTCAAAGTATTAATTATTATTTTTTAAGAATATTTAAATATACTATTGCCAATGCGCTTTTAAAAATATATAAAAATGTATGTGATATTTAACGTATGTTGTTCATCCCCGTATTTCCATGGTTTTTAATTTATTTTCTATTTGCGTAAACAAGAGTACGGCCGTACTATATAGTATATAACATTGCGTACTTCGGATTTCATTTTAACGTTGTTTGCACAGTTTCAAAGTCTTATGGATTAATGTACAAGATCAAACAATTCAGAATTAAGTATCGCGAGATGTTGAGAAAAAATTTAATCAACATCAAAATTGTACATAATTCTAAAGCCATTACATTACTTCCGAAATAATTACATTATTTCCGAATTTGATTAAATGCAATTTGCGTTTAATTTTAACATCATTAAATGTGATTAAATTTAATTTAACAAAACGATGTTTCGTGCATCTGAAATTAAATTATTGAATGATATTATTCGGTGAGTGGTTCATTGTAGAAGAACGAATTTCAAATAAAATTACGTTTAGGTAAGCTGCGATATAAAGATGTGAAGTTCATATAAAAGTCAAGCAAAGAGAGAGAACATTGATTCCGATAACTCGGTGGAGACACGGTATAGAGGAAGCTGAAAGAAATTCTTGGACGAAACTATGAATTTTGTGTATAAATACATGAGGCGAAAGTAAATACTCAAATGTAAAGAACAAACGGGTATAAATAACATTAATAATTATATTTCCGTATTTGACCAAAAACTGAATAAAAATGCAAGTTTTTAATCATACTTTTTGATTAAAGTTTATTAAATTTATTATATTAGTCTAAACTTCGTTTAATGTACTTTGAGACCAAATGCACTCGTTCTTCGTTACATTAAACAATCGTTAATAATTGAATAAATTACTGCTCTTCGACAGCTCTAAAAGTACAATTGCAATAATTATTCCTTATCTTGTCTTGCATTGCATTTTCTTATAAACAACAAGCAAAACACAATCGTGCATGGGCTAACTTCAAGCCATTAGTGACGATAAAAGTTACCTTCGTCCCAGTACCGGGGCATCGTTCAATGGCTTCACTTTACATTCAAATCATTGAATCCAGTTCTGCCATGCGACATTAATCGTCACGGCTGCAAAAGCATATTAATATATAACGTGAAACCATCGAATAAAATTCTATAGTTCACTGGTGATGTCTTGTAGGACACCTTTTACTCGTCGATCTAACGAGGTTAATCGGCTTCACGAGGTGGACCAGTGCATCGCGATCATGGAAACAACGATTACGAATTGCGATCAGAGAAAGGACGCGGTAAGAGAAATTGTAAAATAGATAATCTCAAGGTTTATTCGATAATTGAATTGAATTACACAGAAGGATTACACAATCGATATTTTGTACAAAATTGATATTGTTTGCTGTTGCTTACATTAATTAAGCATGCGATTAATGTGAAAATTTAAAACAACCTAGCTTATAAATATAAGTGTTTTATTGTTGTAAGTATATACAAAAGTTTTTGTTTACTTTTAGCAAGCCAAGTCATTTCTGACAGGCGTCCAGCTAAATATATTGTAAACATATTTCAATCTTAATCAATTGTTACTCAATTGTAACTATTTGATACTCTATTATAATAATTAAAAAATTCGTATTTAGAATTCATCATACTATTCTATTTTACATTATTATTATATTAAAAATTGTGAAAAATAACTTAGCAATTCAGATTAATTAATTTTCTACTATTGCTGAATTATGTAAATAAATTTAACGATTTTTTCTATGTATGCCAGTTCATATGTAAATTTTTTCAACTCATAATTTTATTAAATTAGCCTATCAACAAATTAATGATAAAATTTTATAAACATCTTCATCAAAGTACTAAATTGTACATTCCTATAAATATTTTCAAATATAATACATATTTATAATTTTCAAAAGGCTTAGGATGATTTTTTGGTAGAATATATTAGCTCGATTAATATTTATTCAAGTATACTCGATCGTTATTTCGTTATAAATTTTCATTGGAAATAAGTGTATTGTTCATAGAAATATTCTGTAAATCAAGAGCAATACCCAATAACATATAACAAAGGATCCTTCGATCGTTCATGATTATTAGTAAGAATTATTTAATTTTTTACTTTTTTTGTACTTTCAAATTACGACTTTTCAATGGAAGCATCGTTAAACCGAATTATTGCTACATAATGGGTTGGTTAAAAGTTAATTTGATAAAACTAATTGGTATTTTAGCTAAAGATAATCAATTTTATTTATAAACGACAGCATTTGTAAGAATTTACTACAATAGCAATTGGCCCTTATCTCAATTTGCAAAAAAGAGATTGTCAATCACTCAATGCAAAATAGAGTTATTCATGACTACTCGAATGTGATGATTTCTCCTAATTCACTTCTCTTTTCGACTTTCGTTAATTACGAAAATGAAAATCAGGGCTCGACTTTGGGTCAGCTGTTCTCGTGGCCTATTCATTTGCTGTCCTCAATCTACTTTTGGCTCACCTTCGAACTCAGGCAAATACTCGAGGAGAAAATTAACGTTCCTTCATCGTCGGACGACTCCTCGAAGTTCCTATCGAGCGTTGCTTCGTTCGTCCTTGGGCTCATCCTTGTCAAGAACTACGGCGATTCGTTCGACAACGTGAGTATATGTAAAATCCGATATTGGCTTTGCTGTAATTACTCACTTGTCAAAGAACTTTTAACTTTGAAATGATGCAAACGAATGGAGTGTTGCTTTATAATTACAGCCATTTTTTGTATGATTCTGAGAGAAGAGTGTAACCATTTTTATATATACGTGCCTTTTTAAATATAGAAAAAATATTCGTTACTGGAAAAATAATGACAACAAAGAATGTATATCACTAAAATTAATAGAACGTTGCGTGCTTCATCGTGCAAAAATAAAAAATTAGGAATCTATGTTTAATTACCTTACGACGTATAAAAAGACTTTACTGATAAAAAGATTTAGTGAGATAATTCAAAGTTCTTTTTTTAATAAAAGTACTCCTTTCCATTTTATAAAAGCTTGAAGGAAAAAATGATGGAAAGCACATCTATTCAAGATAAAATATAATAAATAATAATCATTTCTTTGGATTGATCATGAATTGGATTGATTATACTTTCCTCATAAATGGAAATTTAATTTCAGAAGATATATATTTATCTTTAATAAAATTACGCATTAATAAAATAATCTCTCATTCTATGAAATTAGTTTTTTCTTTATACAACAGTTTACTTTATGAACTGTTCTAGAAATAAAAATATACCTTATAAATAGAGCATAAGGATTTCTAAATATACCAGATTATATAAGAAAAATTTTTTATTATCATTGTAAATGACTATTTATATAGTTTTTGCAATCTTTTATTTAAATTATCATCGTGGAATATTAAATTTCTTCAAATGAAATTCTATCATTTATATGTACATACGCTCGTTTTGAAGGAACATATAAATAATATTGTCTACCTCTTTTTTGAGGAAAAATACTTCGTCGATTACTTCGAATTACGATTCACTTAACTTGGTATACAATTTTTTTACAATAAAAGAATCTCTTCTGAATGCAAGAAACGGAAAAAATCGACAATTGTAATTCAAAAATAATAAGGTAAATTTGTATTCATAAGCTGAATGGAACAAAAATCGAGGGGTCCATTATCATATTTCTTTCCAAAAATCTGCAATCATTTTTTGCTCTTCTCACGTTACCACCTGTGTAGTGCCATTTTATTTTTTTCGCATCTTTTGAACAGACTTGAGATTCAGGATTCGATGCGATTAATGGATAATAACCATTGCAGATGATCTCCATGTGTCTCGGTAGTTGGGGCAGCGTGACACGTGACTTCTTCAACCTAATTACAAGTTTGAGCTTTGACAACATTGAGCGTGTGGCGATAATATGCGTCGTTATCATATTTTGGATCGGGGCCTTCAGGATCGTCTCTAATGTTATAAAGAAGTTCACCGAGGCAAAGAAAACTTGTTCGTTTGAGCATACCCAATAATCTCTTTTATTCTTTATATGTCGTAAATATTGTCAAAATACCATTCACTCATTAAAGAACTATTTTAAATTTTATTCGACGATTCGCTAATATATATTTTATTCTACGATGCTTATAATTATTATTTAATATAAGTAAAAAATTACTTAGATCAATTTTAAGGCATTTAAAATGTCAAATTCATATTATTTATGATGCTTTGATAACATCATTTATGGGGAAAAAAATTTACCAAAACAATATATATTCGTAATTTACTGAAATCTATCTAACGACGTAGATAAATTGAACAAATGTAACTTTTTATTTAAAATTAGCTATTTAGATTTAAAAAATTAGTATATTTACATTTAATTTGGCATGTCACTACAATAATTGCAAAGTTATTTTTTACCCTTTTAACTTATTATACACTAATATAAATTAATAATTATTATTTTGTAATTATTTTTTAAATGCAATTTATATATTCAAGTGTTCTTGACCGCTAAGAATTTAAACTACTTTGGTCATTGGAAGATAAATATCGTTTTGAAAGAATTATTATAATTATTATAAAAAAGATTTATTAAGTTACTGTACTAATTCATGAATGTAAATTTTTCTTTTTAATCGCATTTTACTTTTACGAATTCTTAGTTAATATAAGTAAATATATTTCTGAAAAATTTAATATTTCCAAATTATAATTAAATGTAATTTTAATACATAATCGTACATTATTCAATAAGCTCAAGATGAAAAAATATTTTATTTTAGTTCTTTTAGATTATTTATTCAGTTAAAATAGTTAAGTAAAGATTATAATAAGAAAAATAAAAAAATCAATCTGAATCAAATCGAATTTTTTTATAATTCAATAAGAATTTCTCGACAATTCCGTAATTGAATTCGCATTGAAAATTGTCATGTATCCATTTCATAGTGAATCATTTCACCGAGTAATTTTTACTTTGAGTAAACGTAACGATTCACAATTCGACAATAATAGGACAAAAATATTATTTGTCTTCTATATTAAATTATGGGAAAAAAATTTGAAAAAATATGAATAAATTTTTCAATGTAGCTACAAAGTTAACAAATTAAAAATGTAAATATAAAAAAAAAATAGAGATAGATACATAAAAAATTGGTATGTGAACGTTTACACAATATTTACATATTTTTTTAATAAAACATTCCTTTATTCAATTGTTTTTTAACAAAATATATAATAATAGTTTTGATTGCAACATTTTAAAATAAACCTAATGTACGATCAATATTTTAACAAAAGCAAAAACATTATCTATTCAATAGTGATCGATTAAATATTTATATATTTATAATTTTAAATTATACATAGTCATGAAACAATGCACGTTTTTACCGATTATGTATGTTGAACAATTTCCATGTGTACTCATAAGAATCATCGTCGTCGAACAAATAATCTGTTTTCGTAGTACAAATATTTTGATTCAATCAATCCAATTTATTTTCTAATACAGGTTTATTGATATGTAAAAATGATAAATTGGCGTTATTTTGTTCATTGTTTAAAAACTATAAATCAATTAGTTACAAAAATGTGAAACGAATGTATTACCAACTTTTAAAACTTACTAAAGTATCTGTTCAATAAATGTTTATCGATAATTAAATATGTATTAAATTTTACAATTTTAATTTAGATCGATTTTTGATTTTCGAAATTTGCTTTTAATTGTGAGAATTTACAGTGGTGCACTCTTGATTAATTTTGTAACAATCCCATAGAAATGTAAAAACTTAAACCATATCTTTACAAATTTAACTTACATTATTTTGTAAACAAATAAAGTATTGTTAAAATATGTGAAATTGCAACTAAGATCAATTTATCTAATCAAATTTCCTATGAAATAATTTACAACTGTGAATATAAATTATTAGTATTTAGAGTTGTATTGTCTACAAAATATTCAAATAATTACCAATGTGTTCACTATTATTCTCAAGATGAAAATTAAAGAATAAAATAATGTGTAATTATTTACCTATATCTTTAAGAAATTCTTCAGCCAAATGCATATTTTTTGTTCGCTGCACTCGAAAAATAAACTGACTATTTATTCTACAACTTATTTATAAAATATCGGTCATAAAACTGTTATATTTAAAATTTTTAATTTATCGACTATAATTGTTAATTTCGAACACAAAGTAAATACAAAACGACTGATCCGCAATCGCGAAATACTAACTAATCCAACGATTTACCTACTTTCAGAAATCCTTGATTTCGCACTTACATGTAAACAGTAATCGGGCCTAATGATATATTTGGCTTCAATTATAATCTACGAATCTGTGCGTTTTGTATTTATGATGATAAATATGTATAAATTATTGAATAGATTTTAATGCGAAAAATGAGTTTTTAAATTATTTTGATTTTGCAATACTCTATTGTTCTATTATTCAACATATAATTTTACATTGTTTTATGAGTTTTGAGAATTATAAATGAGGTTGAAAAAATAATGATGAAGTATACGAAGTTTCTATATTTATATACAATGTTTTATTGCTTAACTTAAAATTCAAAAAAAAAAACTTTCAACTAATACAAGACATAATTGTCCTATATACAATATTAAATACTTCTATCATTATAAAGACTATATTAATTACAAATGTTTTTCTATAATTTTGGTATAAAATAACTTATAAAATACATTAATAATAAACACAATAAAAATAAAGCATAAGTATAGTTGTTTATAAAGTATTCGATATCCATATAAATTAGTCTTTTTTACTATTGTCGTTTACATAAAAATATATTCAATAAAATACAATAATAAATTAAATTATAAAAGGCCGAATTCAATCGCAATAAGGCCACCGAATAATACTTTTATTTTACATTAATAAGAAGTTTTATGATTATTTACGTGGTCTTTTTGCAAATCCATCAATTTTTTCCTATATTGATATATAAATTATAATTAAAAAAATATTCTTCTCTCAATGCATTTGTTGGATTTTAACTCGTTGGAATAACTCGTTGAGTATATTCCTTTACTCTGAAAAATTGCTTAAATTTAATTTAGAGTTTGGCTTGAAATTTAATTCTATATAAATACATACATATTATTTAAATGCGGCGGAATAAAAAGATTTTTTTGCAATGATTTTACACTATTTATTGTGAAAGGCGTAGAAAATTTCACCGTCACACAAATCATTTCAATAAATTCTTTACCCACAATGTAAACGAAGATTGTAAAGACTATCGGTGTGCTCGCTTATATCCATTAATTTTTTATACTATACACCGTCTCAATTTCCGTATTTCAATTAATCATTGGCAATCGTGATGGCAAGCTTGTGTTCAGGCCAAGAAAATGTTCGCGGCAGTTGGAGCTGAAACATTTAAGTATACAAATTATTTAAGGCTCATCGTCTAAAGAGCATCAAATTCACTCAAATATCTTTAATATCTTTAAATATCTCAAAGATTTTTAATGAAATTAATATTCAAGTAGCGATTTTCATAGTATTATAAGAATTACATGTTCTGGGGTGCTCAAAATTTGAAACTCCTGAGCCATTGTTTCTGCAAGATCCTCAGGAAGCAGGACTTGTAACCAGGGTCCTTGTACGACATAAGGCCTTTCTCTCGACACTAGTGTACCAGTAACTGACGGGGCCACTATTGTTACTGCTGTATGTGATAGTATCGACTTAAATGTGAAATGTCTTCCATGCATTACTCTGCCTCTGAAAAATAAAAAATGTAATGAAATTACACGTTATAGTTTCACACTTTGTCATTGCAATAAAAACTTTAATATAAAATTATAGCCTTAAGTAGATAAGAGACGAGCAGCTTTATTTGATTAATTTTTTTTCTTCCTTTTGCTATTAATTAATTAATTGATTTTATTATTATTATTATTATTATTATTATTATTATTCTGAAACAAGCGAAAACCAATATCCGACATTATATCGTTCATAGTATTTTTGTACTATTTTTTTAAACTTTCATACGCCAATTTTAATTTACTTGATTATATAACGAAGAAAGGCGATAATGAAATGTTGATTTTTTTGAACGTCAATTATTCCATTTGTTAAACATTTAATAATATTATGTATAAACATCTAAATATAATGATGCAGCATAACAAATTTCCGTGTTAAGATATTTTAAAATTTTCTAAAATTGAACATAATTCTTGGCTGTAAAAACGGTATTCAAAACTTTAATAATGCTTTCTACGAATTACAATTTTTTAATGCAACTTCCACATTAATGTTTTGAATCGACCATTGCTATCTAAGCAATTGGCCATGATACTTCATCCATACAAACTGCTCATCGTGTGCATGTATAACATCTTTGCAAAATAAGTTTTCGATGCTTTTATCTTTGTATGGCATTCATTGGAAAACGTTGCATTTGAATTATTATACAATTTAGCACTTTGGCCAGTAGCACATTAATTATAATGCTTCGAGTGAAGTTTAATGCACAACTAGTAAGATAGATGATTTATATATGTACTAACTTTATCGCTAAAGGCAATAAACTTCCTGCTTCTAAATTAAAAGTGAGATGAAGCCCAAGAAGTGGTTTGATTCCATTGTCTTCAGGAATATTTGCATCTTGGTCGCAAGGCGATAATCTTTCCGACTTGATGGTTGGTTTTATATCCAGCTCTTCTTCGTCCGAATCGTCTCTTCTCTCGCGATATTTTTCTGTACTTTTTTCGCCGCACATTTGGACCCACCTACATTACATTAAATTACATTAAAAATTTAAATACAAAAATTACAAACTACAAAAAATATTTAATCAGAAAGTGCACGAAATTTATGAGCGAAATAGCTCGTATTGATTGTTCCGGATTCGAGTTCTTTATAAAAATACATCGAGGAATGTGAACGCTGCACGAATATTCGTTTTTTTCCGCGAGAATATTAATATTCAACGACCGGGCATTTATCGTTCTTAAATTATCATTGTGATCCCCCATGCTCATTCAATCCAGTCAAATTAAATTCTTCCGACTCCAACGTTGATAAAAACGTCACCCATTTTGAACAAAAATCGAAACCGATGCTTCATCGGCATCAAATCTAGCAACGCCTTACCCTACACATTTAATTATATAGCTCACCAACACTTGGCCGACACGCCACTGAGATTAGATCCCTCTCTCTCGATGCCGCCCTGAATTTTCTCGGCTATCGAAGGATCCTCCTCCATGACGGAATTAATGCGTCTCATGTCCGTGACAAGCCATGAGCCACAGCCCCTCGTGGTCTTTAAGAGGTTGATGACACCGAGTCCGTTCCAGTGTTGAGCAGCCTGCAGCTCCTCGGACGTCACGCCCACAATTTGCACAAACGATACCTACCGACGACAGCATCTATTAGGATTAGCCAGAGCACGCAGTTTTCTTGTTTTAAGCTACTCGCGAGACTCGGGGTTGCGGTCTTCTCGAGAATTCAGGCTCTGAACGCGGCAATCGATCGACGAAGCACGTCAACGATAGTGTTCCCAACAATTGACAAATTTATGTTTAATTACTGATGTTCTTTTTTACGCAACACCTCACGTATATATAATTAGCCACGGATTCTCAACGAACTTTACGAAAAATATATCCGAGCTTCGAGTTCTTTTGTACGCTTCTTTAATACGTCATTCTTATCTTTGGCGTATTATTTTAACGTTGTAACAAAGGCAACGTTTAAATTGAGTAAAGTTGTATGACCCGCGATCACTTTCGCGTCTAAGTGATCAAACGATAGATTTCCGATGCCGTAGTGAAAATAAATAACCAAACGTATGAGCTCCTTCTAAGCTTGGAAAATGATTCCCTTAACGTAAGACGATACCCTTAAAATAACTCTGGATTAAAACCGGCATCGTAGACATCCTCTTCTCACAAAAACAAAAAACCGCACTATGTAAAAACAAAAAAATTCCATTTGGAACTTTGGAAATTCGATAGAAAGTGTCAGTATGGCTTCTCATATAACAAATCAATCTATACAATCTATAAATATTTAATGGCCCTGTTTATGCAGCGAGTCTTACATCTCATTATTAAAACGTTAAATTTAGCGAATTGAGAATGGCTTTAAAAAAAATCAGGCTATAATTAATTATAAGCGGTACAAAAAGAAGGTAACAAATATAATTCAACAACAACTACTACTACTAGCACCACTACTATTATTACTAATTGTTCTTAATGTTCCCATTTTTATTTATTTATTTATTTTTTGTTAATTGTAATAATAAGTTTAGCTTGCAAAATTGTCTTGGTAATATCTTGCCGGTTCCAAAGTACTGACCTCACCGTGTGGTGTGGCCGCGGAGGCCGGCAACTGTGGATCCCGGCCCATGAGTATCTGCGTGATGCGCCCGGGACCGGGTCCGCCGTCGAGGGGTGCGTGCCAGGACACGTGGTCCCCGGGCATGAGCATGTTTCCGGAGTTGAAGACGTACTTGGCGAGCTGCTGCATGACATTCGCCGGCCAGGTTGGCGGGCTCGTTTCGCCACGTTCGCGCACCAGGCGGAAGGTAAGCTCGAAGCCGAAGCCACTGGGACGCCCAGGACCGCTTCGCGGGTGTAGACGGCCATCCCCGTGAAGGTCCGAGAGTCCAAGACTGTTGGCAGTTATTAGATGAGTGACGTTAAAGGGGTGCGGGTAGGAGTTAGGGGGCTCTCGGCAGCACGATCCTTTTACGCGGCGCTCAAATTGCTTTCTAGGAAGTAGGCATGATTTTCGGATATTTCATAGACAAAGGGACGACCTTCTTCTACCGCTTCTTAGCGTCAGCCAGCCGAGCATTTGCATTTCGAGGCGAATGAGAAATAGAATTACGCGTCGATATTACTCTACGTTTGCAATTTTCGTGAATTAATAGCTGTATTCTCCAATTGCGCCGTTTAGATGTTGTTTCAGATTCAATGTCACAGGAAATCCGTCGATTTAACAAAGAATACCAAACTTGCACTTACTTGCTTTCGTCAAAGTAAAGGTAAATGTGCACATCCACAAAGGTATTTATTAAACAAGATAAGCGTCAATTAAACATCCCCGCAACATTGATTTAGTAAAATCGTTTGAGCCCGAATAATTCACGCTCTACTAATGTTTGTCAAAAAGGACTTTTTATTATACGTTGGCTAGTAACGATACTCCAGTGCGATGCTCGACTAAAAAGGCGTCTCAAGGCTTCAACAGGCATTCCAAAGTTTGAAGTGACAATATATTCATTGTAGTGCTTAATACTTGAGCTAAAATTAAGCGACCATATTTTATTTAGAGAGCTAAACTCGGAGAGGGGAGTCGCTTGGTGATTCACAAGGGGCCACTTGTTCGAGGCCGATCCTTGGACAACGAGCACTGGCCGAGCTAATACACAAACTAAAATTCGGCGAAATGAATTTCCCGTTAAATTGAGTACCCCGGGAACCACGTTTGCTATCCATTGCATTTCTCGATAGTGTAATTGCGCGCTTCTCTATATAGCAAAATCACAGCTGCTCCTTTGCTTCGGTGTCTCGCGAGTACACAAAGGCTGTCTCGTGGATATAAGGCGTCTTTGGGAAAAAGAAGACAAGAGCACGTGTATTTTCGTTCGCTAGGGGCCGTAGCTCGGAAAAAAGGGGAAGTACAAGGCGAAGAAGAAATCTCTATTTCCGGTCTTTGCCCTTTAAAAAGATGCGCTTTTTATTCGGCTATGCTTGCACACGCCGCAGTTATAATTAGACTTTGCGAGACAGCTGCTACAAGTTTGCGATGAAAACAGAAGGGCGGGAGGAAGGGGGAGAGGACACGGGAAAGCGACACCAGACCGAATTTAATAGTATGTTGGATGAATGAAGCGAGTGAGAGCAGAAAAGGTGCGCCGTTACGATATCGCATGACGATAAAACTATTGATAAATCGTGAAAAGAGAATGACAAAACGCCATATACCATAACTATGTGCAATTTATATACATTGATATATTTTGAGCCTTTTCTTTATTTCACATTTCAGTGCTCATATTTTGAAAGTGTGTGAGCATTTTTCTTTTCGTTTTAATAGCGTATATTTAATCAATGGGTAAGCAAACAATTATTATTTCAATCGATCGAGATTTTCCGTTAAACGCAGATATTTATTGAAAATTTATTTTAAACAATGAAAAATCAATCTTCGGTAGATAAAACGAAAAGTAAAATATAGGCAACTAAATTGTAAAAGAATACAAAGGATCGATTATCAATGAGCTGTTCTTTGCATTACAACTTCTTTTCTGTAACAAAGTCATTCTATAATACTTTTTATAGTATAAGAAATAGTACGATGAAAGTATCCAGCAATTTGTTTTCACAACAAACTAGACTACTCAAACCTTCACTATAAACGCGCTAATGCTCGGTGTTTAACATCTTTATGTTATTAAAACTATATATAGTGAATATAACAGTTCGATCAATTACGAAGATCCCACTTAAATAATCTACAGAGAAGCAAAACAAAAGAAAGCAAGGCGAGTTCTTTTATCGAATAACAATTGGCATATATTTCTAATTAAAAAGTGCCTTTTTACTTATAAGCCATTAAAATATAAAAAAACTCATATAAAACATTTTATTAATAGTTAATAAATTAATAAAAATTACTTGTTATAGTGTTCGTGAGAGTATGTCGAATCTTTGTTTATGATATTATTCGATTATTATTTAGTGGGCAAACGTACCAACTTACTAATAAGACAACCAATTTTGTATGTATCATTAGAATTAAATATGCATTTCTTAATAAATGTAGTAAAATTAAAAATAAATCATTGATATTTCGTAATGGATCGTCAATTTTCTCAAGTTTATTAAATTTTTTGCAAATGTATTATTGGCTTAGGCACTTTGGTTGAAAGCGACATTATACGAAAACTATCGGTAGTGAATAATTGCATATTTCCGTTTCTTTTTTTTTTGAAGTACAGAGTATGACACAAAGTCGAAAAGTGACGCGCAACACTTTGATGCTATAGGCCAGTGAGGAAAACTTCCAGCCAATCCAATCTTCAGAGTGTGCAAAGCCGCATTGTTACCGAGGCAGTGGTTCATAAAATTTTTATGGTGCGCAGATGAGTGGGAAGGCGATTGGTTCTCGTATTTTCTGACAGTTTCCTTTTATATGTTTGATGCAGAGAAAAGATGTTTTGGAGAGTAAAGTGCATTTGGACGGTGGGCGAAAGTGGGCTATTTTACGAAAGTTTGAAAGGAAATTTTTTCAATTTTGTTATCATTACGCTTTTTAAGTATTCAGATTCTATACGTTGTAGCGTTCATATTTTATAATCTACTCATTAATACTAAATATCAAATGGAGTTAGCAAGTGGAAATAATATTAGAACATTTAGGGAATGTCTATCCGTGGTAAGTTTTGACTTATTCTCGAAAATTCATTGGACGAAGACAACTATCTCGCGCAAATTTTATAATAATGAATTTGTTAATAAGTATATTTATGTCTTTGGTCTTAATGTTGACTGGAATAATTAATCTTTATAATTTTGCTATATTCTCAAACCATTTATTAATATATTAGATAAAATAGTTACGATAATTAAACATAGCTGTAAAGCAAATTTGAAAGAGCATAGTTTTTACGGTATCTATTATGAAAAGAAAGTTTCTCCATACATGATTCCGAGTAAGGATTTATTTAATGCAACTGTCTCACTTAAGGATATTTAACATGTTCATCGTGACGAATTACAAGCCCAATCTCCATGTAACCCAAGTCATTGCATGTAACTCAACGCATAAATAAAGAAAAAAATTAATGCGGCAAATGCTTAAGAAGCACTCGATGGAAATTCCGGGTGAGTAGGGACGTAGGATGGAAAACCAAACACGTGAGGAGAACCATAAGTTACTCGAGGTTTTCACAGTGCGTATATATATATATATATATATATATATATATATATATATATATATATATATGGTGGCTTGTAACGCAATTTCCCGCGACTCTCCTCCGCTACCCTTCGCATACACAAACGCTCTTTATTCTTCAAAACTTTTTTTTCCCTCCTTCGTAGCGTAAATCTTTCATTTTCCTTCTACGAAGTTTCACAAATGGAGTAAGACGGATTCCTTTGCGTGCGACGTACAATCGAAAAAATTCCCTGTTCTGAGCGTCTAGAGGGACACGTTCGTGAAAAGGTCTTCTTTCTCTATATTCTGTGTAAAATTATTCACTTTAAAAAAATGTTTGCACTACAGATCAATTATATCTAACCGTTTAAGATTTAATTACAAAAGGGTGCTAGGAATAAGAAATATCCCGTTGTTCTTAAATTAAGAGAAATAAAAAAATTGAACGAAAGCCGAGAATAAAGAGAGAATACCCTTGCGGTTTGCATAATCTCAAATCACAATAAATCCGCAATTCGCGTTAAGTCGTATTAAAACTTCTGATAATTTTGGCATTTCCCGTTCATTTCGTACAACGTTATTGCCCATTATCGGGATTATACAATTACATATAATAAATAAATAACATTCAATAAAAAAGAACAAAAAAATTCATCCAAATTAGATTAATTGTAATAAGCCAGATCAAATTTTCTTTTCAGCTGATTTGACTTTAGAGTTGACAACGAACCGTTGCTTTTATAATTACGATGCTGATTAAATAAAGTACAAAAGGTATTTTACGAAATTTTCTTTTATATGATACCATATTGTTGTGTACAACGGCGGCTCTCGACATTTGTATTTTATGAGCAATAAACGCAATGTCATTGCCATTGCTGAATTATTCATTCGCAAGAGTTTCGAACTATTGGCCATAAGGTAGGATACTTTGGTGAAATGAAATCTGCAATATCTCGAATGCGTGCGAGCGTTGTGAATTAAAAACAAAGGAAGAAGGAGAAACGCTGCAGACACGAACGCAAGATGGTAAATTGCGTCTATATTATATTGTGAAAATGGTGCCCTGGACGCGTATAATCACGTATCAATTTGCCTTTATTATTCTTCCGTGGTAATATAAAGCTGTGCATAAATGAAGAAGTAGAAACGAGAGATGCGGAGAGCGAGGTGCGATAGTTAATAACATCTCTGATTCAAAAGGAGGAGGAGAAACGCTTTTGTTCTATCTCAACCGCCATCTGGGCGCCTTATTATTTATTGTATTCTTTTAATGCTTTTAAAGCTCAAACAATCTAACAAGTGCCAATAATTAATACGAGGTGTAGTCTACTTTGCGTGGAGAACAAGGGGATAACGACGCTAAGAGTGTCCCTCGTTCATCCATTAAAAGCATATTATACGTGAGTAATCGCTTACTATTCTCGGAAATCTAAAATCGTCCCTGGGAAATTACACTTAAGAACGAAGGATGGGGTTTCGCGCAGTAACGGCTAATTCTGTGATATTTCAAAACGGTCAATATTATTACTATACAATGTTTTTATACTGTCTGTTGGTTTTTACGTGCGCTAATCCTGCTTTTATTTGGCGAAAAGCCTTTTTGCTGATTCGACGTGAAATGTACTTTTGGTTGGTATTATTTTCGCATCGTAATTCGAGGCGATGAGACCGACTCGGTTTTTCTGCTAAACTTTCCTACGTACATTTTCAATTCTTAGCCGGTGAAATTAGTAATTATTTTAAATAATTTTATCGAGCATTGTTCATCCCTTAACAACACCACGAACATCATTAACGATTAGTGAGAATGATGGACAAAATAATAATAACCCTAACTTCGTATATTCTTGTACCTTGGGACTTTAGCAACTTTAAAAGAAAAAAAAATTTATAATAATCTTCATAATATTTCTTCAACGTCATAAAAGTAATATAATTCACATTCTTAATAATATAATTATATTTATTATTAATTTATTTCAAATATTATGTGCGATTTGACATTTATATCTTTAAAATATAATGGATAACATTGTTAGATTTAATTTTTTCCATTATTAAGTATTTTTTATTAAGTGGAAACTTTAATTTACTGTATGATTGCAATATGAAATTTCAAAATTTCCGGACACTATTATCTACATTATTGAAAGATCGGTAAGTTTCAACATTGCATTTCAAATACGCTATAGTTGTTATCATTAAATTGTTGCTTTTTTTATTCACTTATGCCATTTAATTTCATTGAATTACTTCGTGAATAGTAATATTGAAAACAAAATATAATATGCCTCCACCGGTGTGTCAATAGCGATTTTATGTATCAGAGGAATACACAATATTCTGCAAATGTCTCTATTTGTTATTAATCTCAATATTATTTATCGATAGTTCAATTATTATCTGCTTTTAAACAAATCAATTGTTTGGATATGCAAGTAATGTAGCTAGTATAGCCGCCGCACGAACCTAGAAATAATCCTACCGTTCAGAGCTTAAGCAGAGCTGTCGCTTTGTATTAAAGTATCGTAAATTCTATTAACATTAAAGACACGCACGCACGCGCGTATATGTCAACGATGCTTTTTCTTTTTTTCTTTCTTTTTTTTGCCAACGGCCTGGCAAACTTCAATTGACAATGCATTATCGTAAGTTCGTAAGTTATGGTGCGTTAACTGCAAACTCCTCGAAAATTCGCCATAGCTTAAAAGCCCAAGGAACATAGGTCGTATCAAAAAATCTTTTGACGCTTGATCGCGCTCGGCATCTTCTTTTAAAGTCCCCCCCGACAACATCATGTCGAACAAAGGGCCTTAGTGCACCGTAACTTTCGTAAATCTATCCGCTAAAAAGGCAGCACGAGATAATAAGAATCGCTTCGCCTCCCTTCGCGAATTCGATCTTCGGAAAGTTGCCGCCTTCTTCGCTCCATCCATCCCGGCATTAGAAATCCGCTCCAAGTACATTCGATGGCTGTGTGCAAGGAACTATCATCGTAATCGCTTACCTCCTTACACTACACGACATAACACGACAAGACGATTAAAAGTTTCGCTTATTAATTACGTGGGATAAGCCTTTGGAACGAAGCTGCAAATGTTGCAATCAAGATGAGTCTGCAGTCGAGTGGCTACGACCGTGCACATTTAAGCGCTCCCCATTAAACTCACTCGGGACGACTATTTACCAACGATATCCTCCTCGGCCCCTCGCGCGACCCGAGTCCGCCGAATGGCTCTCGGGATTATTAAATTCGAGGTAAGTTCGCGCACTAGGTCGACTACTTTCACTGCGAGGAAAGTTGTTTTGCCCGGTGACTCCATGACATATCAACCTGACGTACCTGATGTAGTGCCAATGTGGGGGAACACCGAGCTCTGGGCAACCCGGATTCTCGTACATGCTGATGTAGTCCAGGGGATCGGGACCACCCAACCTGAGGACAGACAAAAGTCGGCTACGTTAGTACGTCGTTTGACAGCAATGGGTGCTTCAATCAGATACTCGGGACTTCCGCTCTCGAGGCTCCTTACGCTTAAAGGGACGCGACCAATCTCCAGGATTTCAAGGACTCGCGTCTCCGCGGACTCAGAAAACGCTGCGAATTGTGGATACCTCGAGCCACCTTCTCCGGGGTTACGTTCACTCGCTCGGGCCCGAGGTTTATTCTGTCTTGCACACACAACGAGAAACCAAGTTATACCAAGCGAATGTCGCTTTAAACTGTCACTCAAAGATAACACGGGACTCTCGGGGGCCTGGAGAAGATTTGGTCGCGGAGACGCCTCCTGGCCTTGCCGTCATCGTGCACTCTCTCTCTCTCTCTCTTACTGTTTTTATCTCAGCCGCGACGGTTTATCCCGGGTCGATTTCTCAATGCCCATGCCGCTGGGGTTCCGTGACACGACGTAAACGTTCGCGGCGCCGCTCTTTTGCCACTGGTAATGGCATATCGTGGACTACGACACGTGGTGCCCGAGTTGCGTCGTAGGCGCTGAGCCTCCACCCCGAGTATTGTAAAGTCGTCGTCGTCATCGTCATTGTCGCTATTATAGTACGCAAAGAGCCTAGCCTAACTTGCCAAGTCTGCCGAACAAAGATGTGGGAAGGTAGAGGGAGAGGGGAGGTTTAAGCAAGTCCTGGGGCCCGAGACAGTTACGGGGACGACGAATCCAGGGCACGGAATACGCACCAATACTTGAGGATGGCCGTGACGGTGAGGGGATTGCCCTGCTCCGGGTAGACGTCCCTGCAGAGCGCGTGGAGGGCGTCGAGGCCAAGGGCCCGGATGTTCGGGCTGTGCTCCACCCGCTCCCTCATGCTGCCGTACATCGGGGGACGTCCCGGATGCCTCTTCGGAGCTCTTAACCTAGACGATGCGGTGACGGGGACGGATATCTTAGTGAGCCGAGGCACGCTAGCGCGGACTGCTGGCGCGACTGTCGTCACTCGTCGCTCTCGGCGGTGCTCTCTTGCCTTCCTCCCTCGGCTATGGGGACGAGCGGCGCGCGCCGTTAGCGTCCGATTGGCGTCCTTAGGAGGCGCGCGTCCTCATCCCCCTCCACTCCACTTACAGCGGCAAATTCGAAAGTCCGACCGACGAATCGGGCGCTTAACCGTAAGTGGGCCCAGTGTTTACAAATCCGATTCTGCTCGCGATTTTTACGAGACGTGTCGTAAGTTTTCTAGCTTTTTGACAGAAAGTACATTTGTTGTTTGCAAATGCGTTGTATTATGGTTGAGTGGAAATACGAAAATCGGCGTTGGTATTGCTGTGGATTGCTAATTAGTTTAACAAAAACAACGCTTTCATTCGTTTCGTTGTTTATTGATTAGCTTTTATATAAAGCAGTAATGTGTGCTGCGCGTTTAAAAGGAAGTCGAGGTAGTGGTGATGTAATCGCGATTCAAGTCACGACTTTAAATAAGTAAATTTTTCGTTGATTTGCTGTTGATTGAAAGTCGCACCGAATTCTCCAGATTTCGTGATTGAATGATCACTTTTAGTCCAAAGTGCACTTAAATTATTACCTACTTTATTGCGTTCTATTAAAGTGACGAGTAATGAGAAAGAATGGATAAAATTACTTGCAATCTTGGAATCAATTTTGGAATAAATTTTTACATTAAATTAGCTACAGTTTATAAAAAAATATGTGGTAGAGATGCTTAATTATAATTTAATAAATTTACATTGATATACTTTTTATACGTCTTAAAAACGGGAGCAAAAAAGAATAGGAAAATGAAAGGACGAAGATGAAAAAAAATCATCATCCGTGTTAATGAAACTTTACATTTTTGATAACACGAATAAGTTAACCATTAGGCAATTTTACTTTACTCATTTATTCCAATTAAAAAATTTAGAAATGAAAGAAAAATTTTCGTGTTTACGAGAGCAGGGAAAAAACAACGATTGTTAATTAAAAAATGTCCTTAAGTGTTTGCTTACCCGCTCTTTCTTGTTCATGCTAGATAATAAACATTGCTAAAGTATTTCAGTAATGTGGTTTTAAAGTCCTTTACTTTTTGTTTTTTATTTTTTAATTTAATGCTAATGCGGACAGAAACCGGTTTTAGAATTCTTACACAAAATTATACAGCTCGTATATTAACATTTCTGGTCCTTCAAATCTCGTTCCTCTCAGTGTGCTGATTTACATGAAATTTTGCCTAATCCAATTTATTCTAAGTTTAATTTTTAATATTTATCATTTTTAATATTAAATATTTTACTTTGATTATTAAATTAGATATTATAATGTGACTATTATACACGCTTTAGTAATTTTCGATGTAATTTATTATATAACGGTTTTAATAAAGTCACATTTTATTGTAATTTTTTTTCATTTTTTTAACACGTATTAATTTAATTACAATATTACGTAATAATAATTTGTCCAAATAATATAATATAACGCCATTAATAGAACATTACCTTTTCCTTGCTTTTGTTTGTTCAGCAATTTAAAACTCTTGTTAGAAAAAGGAATTTTTCTTGAATTAAAGAAGTTGTAATTTTTTAACGGCGTTCTCTTAAAAATACCTTGTTATCATTTTATCTTATCTAAAGGATATTATTATACTCTTTCATCGTAATGCACTTAATAGAATACGACAATACGAGCTGAAGTGAATAAGGAGTTTAATAGTAACATATGTTACAAATTAAAATAACAAACAATAAACTGTTAATAAATATTCTATTCATTATTTATAATTTATTAAATTACACGAAGATGTATTTCTTCTATATAAACTAAGTTTTACGTAGGTAATACTACAAAAACTGTGTAATTAGTATTTTCAAGTTTTAAAAATGAATTTACTATAGCTCAATTTTGTATTGAACGCGGAGAATATGGACTGTATAACTTCTATCGTATTGTAATAATTTTTTTTTCTTAGAATGATATTTCACAAGGCTACGCTATCGCAATTGGCGAAGATTTGTGGATATTATAAGGCTTTGGTAATTGTACGTAGCAACTGATATTTCTACTTTTCTCACCTCTCTACAAGGTAAGTCGAATGCACCTATATCTGTGAGATACATTGATAATGACATACAGCAGGTATCAGCAGTAAGATATAAATAGTTGGAAAAGCTGTTGTAAGTTCGAACATGTAATAAACCTGCTCAGCATTAATTGCAAAGGAAATGTGGCAAGTATTCTCTCGTACAGAACCTTCCATTTATAACTGAGCTCCTTATTTTCGAAATGTTTAATTAATGTCAGGGAAATGTTAATACAACTGAATAAATGAGAACTTTTAATAAAGACTATATATGTATTTGAACATTTAACCTGTTTTAATTATTGTTGGTTTATCGGATAAATTGTCTTCGGGAATAGAAAATAGAGTGTTCAAATAAAAGTATCTACATTTACTTGTCTGTATTATTAATTAATTTTAGTATGTGGTTTCTTTGCGTAAAAATGATAAATCGATATAGAATCGATATTGAATATTAATAATACAAAAATCATTCAAATTAATATAAAAAAATGAATCCAATGTTTAAGTATTTGGAATCATGGTGAAAAAATAGTAAATGCTTTAAAAAGGTATCATGTTATTTGCTGGTATTAGATATATCGAACACTCATTATTTATAAAATACATTTATATTTATATTTATGATTTATGAATAAAGCAAAAATTAATTTTATAAGCACATTTATACAAAACATACTATAAATGAGTTTCCGAACGATCTAAGAAGGTAAAATTTTAATATAGTAAAAACAATGCATCAGTAGAAAAAATTTTATATTATTATTACTAACAATACACAAAATGAATAACTTATGTTTACGCCGCAAAAATTTTTCCAACTTTAAACATAAAACAAACGACAACATATGCGAATGAAGATTTTAAATTAATATTTAACGCTTTAACATAATTTTTTGTACATAATATTTTTTGTACAATTATAATGTTAATAAATAAAAAATAATATTACAAAAAATAATAATTTTTTTCATAGTATTCGGACAATAATATAAATTTATAATATATTTCGATAAAATAAAAATAAAAAAAAAATTCTTCCATTAAGAAATTGATTTGTAAAATAGGGCACCGAGAATAACAATACGACTCTATAAAATAGATTTTATGCTAGTGTGTACAACTTTTTAAAATTAAATAATTAATATAATTGTTTCAAATTAGGTTGAAATTTTCAAATTGGCCATCTATTCAAAAAGTCCAAGCGCATGGAAATATTATCCGTTGAGCTTGTAATTGATCGTTGAGTTCTATAGTTGATTAAAGAGAATGAACATGTCAATTAAAAATTGCTTATTAATAAAAGAGATATGATCGAAATAAGAAAATAGTTCAATTACTTATGAGTAAATAATATTATATGTGATCCTATATTAATTCTCAGTTACACACACCTGTTATTTACATTCGATCATTTAATAAACGTAGCATTGCGAATAATGTGTAGATTAGAGATAAACTGAGTTTTTAGTTTTGTTAATAAGATAGGCGCTTAAATAGAAAATAATTAATTATTTTAATTTCGACTACTTAGAAACACATCCAACGTAAGTTTCAATAAGAATGGAATAATGTACTTTGTAATCTATAAATAATCTTCACGCGTTTCCGGTTTCCAAGATATTTCAGCTGCGCTAGCAGACGTCATTTATCGACCAGTTATCGGCAATTCATAATATTATTTGTTTATTACATTGTGATTGAAGAAAAAAAAGCAATAATTAAGTAAACTAAATGCCTTTTAAATGTTGCTAAGAATTAACAGTATATATTAAGCGCAATAAATTGTTGGTAGCTAATTAAAGAAAAAAATATATATATGTGTTACGAGACAAAAGTATAAGTTATTTAAATATCAAGAGGTTATAATTGTGAAAGACCTGAAATCGTCTTGTTGAAGTATGCAATGTATTAATGAAACGATGCAGGAGATTTTGAAATGAGGTTTTTATTGATAATGAGTTGCGTGATTGCGCCAATCTTATTAGGTTCGTGTGATCGTCTTGCCCAGACAAATGTCAACAAGATCTTGGATTCTCAGCCAGAGTACAAGCACAAACCGGAAGGTCCACTCGTTCTCTGCAAGTTTCTGTAAGCCCCTTCTTTTTCTTCCTCTAATATGGATTATTTCCTTTATTTATAATAATCATAAATCAGTACCTAATAATAATATTAAACGATTATGTATTTACACAAAAAGGTTGGTATTAATTTTTATATTGATTTTTGATAGGCCAAAAGAATTTATAGAGTGTGATGATCCTATCGATCATAAGGGTAATAAAACTGCTAAGGAGGAGGTGCACATGGGTTGTGTTAAGGTAAAATTAATAAGTTTTAGTAATTATTAATTATTTTAATATATAATAGCTTTACTAAAATGAAATTTTTACTATAGTTTGGTGGTTCGAGGTACGAAGATGTTGAAAAAACAAAAGTCTTTTGTACTGTTTTGCCAGATATCGAATGCTATGGTAATAGAACATTTCTCAGAGAGGGTGTTCCTTGTATAAAGTACAGCGGACACTACTTCACAACTACACTACTATATAGTATATTGTTGGGCTTCCTCGGCATGGACCGATTTTGCCTTGGTCAGACGGGTACAGCAGTGGGTAAACTTTTGACTCTTGGTGGTATTGGTGTTTGGTGGGTTATAGATGTGATTCTACTGGTTACCAATTCTCTACAACCAGAGGATGGTAGTAATTGGAATCCTTATGTCTAGAATTACAATGCTTTTTAATTAAAAATACAATTTGAAAACGGCAGTATCATATTGGTTTTTGAATTCATTTAATTATTTAAATTTTGTAATTAAATGGCGTATTTAGATTTTTTTTATGATATAAACAATATGATATAAATAATTATAAATAATAATTATCCAAATTTTTAAACAAAGAAATAGAGCTTTTAATAATTACAGTTACTAGTATGATACAAAACAAAATATATGACTGAGATACATTAATGTAATTCAATAGATAATAACTATTATTATTCAACTAATTTATAACTAAACTATAAATCTATATATTATTTAAATAAAGAATTATTTTTGTAAATTTTTATGATAATCATATGTAAATGAAACTGAATATATGGTATATTGTAACTAAGGATTAGAAAAATCAAATTGTTTTTTTTTATTATATACAAAAATGTTGTTATATGGTTGTAAATATATATATATATATATATATATATATATATATATTACATTTAAATATCTATTGAATAGAATAAAAGAAAATAAAGGAAAAAAGTCTGTAAAAAATGTTGTAATATAATAATAAATTTTATCTTTAAAGATTAAGTATTTTTAATAATCTTTATACAACTCTTTAATTTACACTTATAATTCGTAATCATCTCGATGATAAAGTTCTCCCAACAGTCTATAGATATACGATGGGGCATTTCCTCCTCTGAAAAACAAATAATTATTTTAGTAAAAAATTATACCGTATAAATACAATGTTATATAAATTTGTTAAAATTTTAAATATCAGTATATATGAATTTGAAATGTAATGTTAAATAGTTTATTTTAGCATTCAATAATAATTTAAAATACTTCAAAAATAACATTTTTATCAGTGTTTAATACTAGTTTTTGTAATATTTTAGTTCTTTATGTCAATATGATAAAATAACAAAATTAATTGCGACATAATGACAGGAGATTTAATGAACCAGTCATATTTGAATGAAAAAAATATTGAATATAAAATATAATTAAAACACAAAATTAGCAATTAAAAAGTATTTATATTGATTATGACGAATGAATAATTGAAAATGACAACTATTCGAAAACTATTTAGACAATAGGAGTTTCCTTTCACAATCAAGTACAAATCAATCAACTATAAAATCAGAATCTATTTAAGGTACAAATAATTTCGAATAATTGAAATTTTAAAAGCAATGGGAACACAACTTACGTATTAGAGATAAAGAGGGTAACAAGATCTGGAGGTACATAATCAAAAACTGGATTATACGACTGGCTATTCTCCATTACAGCAGTGTTATTGGTACTAATCACACCCTGAAGGGGGGAGACATGCTTGTTGAAAGCATGTTGTTCATATAAGCAGAGATAGAGCGGAGACAACTTATATAAGGGTAAAAGCACCATTACTGGAACAGAGTAGTGTTTTGCAGCTTGCGCTACTGTATGTGAACCTGTCAGTGCTCTAAGGCCACCATTGGCCATAACTGTGTGTGTACCTATGATGACTTTGTTGACACGTGACATCATTGCAAAAATAGCTACATCCGAGATCAATGTTGTTTTTATGCAAGCCTTTGATAGATTTGCAGCCATTTCATGACCCTGAAAAGTTTCACAATGCCTTTTGTTTATACAATAAAATAATTGATGAAATAGTTAATATTGTTACTCGTTTTGTTAATATTTTACATAATCATACATTTAAGAATTTAAGACTTAAGAATTTATATATGCTTGTATAAATTATGTGCGACTTCATTTGAACAAGAGAGAGGTTATTTGCCAATGAAAAATTATTGGATAATTTTCTATTAATACATATTTTCTATTGGCAAAAAAATTAAATTGAATAATAAGATGAATTTGTAATATAATTTTTTGGGTGCATATATGGTTTTGATCAATTACCAAATTAGAGGATTTAATATATTATCTGTATATATAGATTTTTTTAACAAACGCACACATTTATATTATGGAAATTGAGAATTCTTTGAGAGATCTTAAATCTTACATCAAGAAATGGAGCACCTTCCGCTACAATGACTTCAAAAGTTCTTGTTTCTGCTGCTTTCTTGAAAAATTGTTCAACCGATCTAGATCTACCTAGTGTCATAATGATTTCATTAGAATGAATGTGTTCCGATGCTTGTTGAGTTATATTTTCGGCACTGTAAAAATCACACATTGTTTAATAACAGTACTATATAAATTTTGCATATTGAAATGCTGGGTTAAAATAAATTATAACTTTTATAGCATGATGAATTGAATAAGATTCTTAATTATATAAATTAAGTATGAATAAATAATTTCTAAGTAATAAAATTTCAACACTCAGAGAATAATAATAAATTTGATATTAATTTATAGCAACATCTTATTTACCATGTTTCTAGTTCTGTTTCAAATTCATTTATATGCTCTAATAGAGCAGATTTAAGAGAGGGGACAATTTTCATAAAATCCATATTCTGATCCCCTTCGGATGTCAGAATTTTATGTAACGATTCTTGAGGATCATTTTCATCGGTTTTATTCTTCAATTCCAAAGAATATTCTTCTCGTATAATTTGAAGTATCCTGCGAACCATATTTCCAATCGAGGCTTCTAATGGGGCAGCCTCGATTAAATGTTTTCCATTTAAAATAATAGTGTCCATTAAGTTTCTGAAAATAAAATTTACCGATATAATTCGAACGCAACATTCTATTTAATAACAACAAAACTTCACTTACTTTGCTCTGCTCCATTTCGTATTTGTTATAATATCCTTTAAAACATCAACGGTAGCGACCACGATTTCATAAGTACCCTTAGTATCACTAAGTACACAAAATATGTATTTTATCACAAAAAACCATTTTAATTGATAATTTACATTTACCTACGAAACAATGCTTTCTTCTTAAGATTACCTACCCATAGTTTATACTTTTGGCGAGATTTAAAACGCTTTCATGAATTTTATCGTCAGCCAATGAGACCATTTTCGCTGCATTACACAAAACTTATTACTTAACCTACTACTATACACTCAAAATTTAAAAAGACTTCAATATTTTACTTTTATCAATTATTACATTCAATTTTACTACATACGAAAATCTCCGATTCATTGGTCTAACTTAGAGTCATCCGAAACTAACGCTTCTGCTCAAAATTCAAGTGCTCAATTAATTAATGGGTCTGCTAAAAAATTTGTTGTTCTCGACATTGGAGGAGTACACTCTCAATGGTGTACTCGGAGCGCGAGGTACAAATTTTTTTAATCATAACATAACGATCATGACACGCACATCGCCAATAGAACAGAACCAATAGAGGTTGCAAACATTGTTTTTGAAAGTAGCATGGAATTTAAGCTCCCTTGGAGCTTATACGAGTATTACTTCCGTATCTCGGATTATTCCATATTTCGCAATATTTTATTTATGAAAACAGCCACTTCCTAGCTAAAAAGTAATTAACTATATAGTATTAAAATCTATATTGTCGATAGCGTGGGGTAATAAATTTGTATATCTTTAGTGCGTATGCAACGAGCGTGAAAATTAATTTTCTCGCCTACCGATTTTCACATATTTAATTTCTTGGAGTCATCTGGCCGGCGACCGAGATCCTTCGTTCCTTACCGATTAGTAATTGATAAATCTTGGATCGAGTTTGCTTTTCTTAGCTTAATAGAACAAGAGGGAGCACGACGATCGTGCTCTTCCCCCGTCGTGTTTCGTATTAAACATGTTTCATATGAAATTTAAAAAGATGCATGCAAGGCATAGAACTCTTAAGATGTTCTCACGTCTACTTTTTATACGCGCACTTACTTTGACTTTTCTGCAAATTTGAATGGCAAATTTCAACTAGTAAGTACAAAAAATTTTAGATATATGGAGACGGGCATACGTATAATGTTAATAATAAATAAATTTTCAACTATTTGAATTACTTATATTAAGCGCCTCTATATTGCCTAACGAGATGAGACCTCACCAGTATATTTCTGCATCAAGATTTCATATAACGTCACATTCATCCCTGTATTACTATATAAAATAGTCAGTGCTTGCGTAGAATACATAATTATATATATATATATATATATATATATATATATATATATATAGAGAGAGAGAGAGAGAGAGAGAGAGAGAGAGAGCGTGCAGCTGCTCGAATGGGACGAGCCGCGTGTCGGTAAATTCTACCAGATAAAGGAATATGCCAGGTGGTGTCGACATCGGATTCAACATTGACGGTTGGAAAGGCGATTCATGTACGAACGCAACTAAATTTGACGTTGTGGAAGAAGAAAAACTTTCATTTTAATAAGAAAATGTCAATGCTCGCGGAGCCAAAACGCAAGCAGAAATGGATGTTGAATTCGCGGGGCAAACAATGGAGCGAAGGTTAAAATAAACTTTTAATTATCTGTTTAAATTTCACGTTCAAAATTTATTTTCGACAGCATTTATTTTTTACGTATTACATTGTATACTTCGCTCCTAAGCTCACGGTAGTGTTTGTTTATTTTATTTATCGTGCTTGTTATAATCTATTAATGTTTTTAATTAATTTCTTTTGTAATATAGTATTAAAATGGATGATCTTATGTTAAATTTGTTATGATTGTTTAAGATTCCAACAAGTTTGGACAAAAAATCATGGAGAAGATGGGATGGAGTAATGGAAAAGGACTTGGTGCTCAAGAGCAAGGAATGGTGGAGCATATTAGAGTTAAAGTGAAGAATGATCAAGTTGGTAAGTTAAAATAATATTGGTGAGAACTTTTTAAATTGACAATTAAAGTGTAAGTTTATATCTAATTTTCTGTAGAATCAAAATCTTTATTAAATTATTCAGAATTAAATATTAGATGAAACTAAGGTATAATTTGCATTCGTGACTATTTAAGGCGTTGGATATAATAAAGATCGTGATAACCATTGGAGCGAGTATCAGGAAAGTTTTAGTCGCTTTCTAGAAGATTTACAAAAAGAAAAGTCCTCGGATACTGCAGAAATTATTAAAGAGAAAGATGACGACCTAAATGGAAAATCATTGGATAAAACAGAACCGATAGAAGGTAAAGATATAGTTTTAAATAGAAAATCCTTGGAAGAAAAATCCAAACAAAGTCAAAAAAGGGTCCAGTAAGTATTTCAAATTCAAATAATTGTTTTTATGTTAATTAGAAAATAATAGCTTTCATTCTGTTTAATTTAAAAATCTCGGATTACAGTTATAGAAAATTTGTGAGAGGTAAGGATGTTAATAAATATAGCCCAAAGGATTTAGCTAATATATTTGGTAAAAAGAATTTGAATGAAAAATATATAAAAGAAGAAAATGAAGATAATTTCGATAATAAGAATGAAATTTATGATCCTATTGGTACAAAATGTTCAACACATGGAATTATTACAATTAAAGCTGGTAATATGAATGATTATTTTAAAAATAAAACAGTTCATGCCATTGAAAGCAGCTACTCCAACCAAAAGACCGAAGATATTCTAAATGATACTCAAAAAAATATCGAATTTGGTTCTTCATTAAAAAATAAAAGTAAATTTTATGTCAATAATGCTGCTACTAGTCCTATTAACAACGATTCTGAAAGTGAAAGTGAAAGATACACAGGATTTGGTTTTTCAAAAAGTAAGAAAGTTAATAATTTAAATTATGTTTTCGATAATCCATGTTTGGATTTGAATATATTAGATGATAATTCTCCAATACAACAAAGAATAAAAAGTGACATCAATGGAATATTTTCCGATAAAATAATTCGAAACAAACGAAAAAATGAATCAAGTGAAAAGGAATCTTTGGAATATTCTAATAAATTTTCGACAAAAAAGCAAAGAAGAGAATTTATTTATGACAATGGAGGTTTAGATTTAGAATTTCCTGATAATTCTATGCTATCAAAAGAAGACACGAGTGAGTCGTTATTAAATAAATGTGACAGTACTGTGTCAAATATGGAATTATCCCATGATATTAAACTCAACAAATGTAAAAAAAGTAATAGGAAATCATTAACAAATGGAAATGAAAATGAAATTATTTTAAATACAGAATTTCCAGATAAAGTAGTGCAGGAACAAACTCAACAAAGTGACAGTAAATCATTGTCAAATGGTTATGATAATTTTGGATTAGATTTAGAATTTTCAAATAGGTTAACACCAAAAAAACCTAAAAGAAATAAAAATCTATCATTATTAAATGGAAATAAAAATGATACTACTTTAAATACAGAATGTGTAGATAAATCAACATTAAAAGAATCTGAACAGAATAATTGTGAAATAAACATTGAATCTTTAAATAAATCAACACCAAAAAATATTAATTCAATTACAAATAAAGTTATATTAAATGGATGTGAAAATATTGGATTGGATATAAAATCACCAGATATCTCAATATCAAAGAAAATTAAAAAAAATAGGAAATTTGAAGATATATCAAATGTATATGAGAATCCAGGATTAGATTTAAATTGTTCTGATAAGATATCACAAAAGAAAAAAAAAATAGTGAAAAATTTAGAGATTCTAGACCAGTTAACACCAATAAACTCGAAAAAATGGAATAAGAATATGACTTTATTAATTGGAACTGAAAATCCTGCTTTAAATCTTGACCTTGTAGATACTTCGTTAAAAGAAGCAAAAAAATCTAAAAAGAATAAGAATTTATCTGTTGGAATTGAAAATCCTGCGTTAGATCTTGAACTTGTAGATACTTCGTTAAAAGAAGCCAAAAAATCTAAAAAGACTAAGAATTTATCAGTTGGAATTGAAAATCCTGCGTTAGATCTTGAACTTGTAGATACTTCGTTAAAAGAAGCCAAAAAATCTAAAAAGACTAAGAATTTATCAGTTGGAATTGAAAATCCTGCGTTAGATCTTGAACTTGTAGATACTTCGTTAAAAGAAGCCAAAAAATCTAAAAAGACTAAGAATTTATCAGTTGGAATTGAAAATCCTGCGTTAGATCTTGAACTTGTAGATACTTCGTTAAAAGAAGCCAAAAAATCTAAAAAGACTAAGAATTTATCAGTTGGAATTGAAAATCCTGCGTTAGATCTTGAACTTGTAGATACTTCGTTAAAAGAAGCCAAAAAATCTAAAAAGACTAAGAATTTATCAGTTGGAATTGAAAATCCTGCGTTAGATCTTGAACTTGTAGATACTTCGTTAAAAGAAGCCAAAAAATCTAAAAAGAATAAGAATTTATCAGTTGGAATTGAGAATTCTGCTTTAGATCTTGAAATTGTAGAAATTCGAAAGGAAGTAAAAAAATGTAAAGAAATTGAAAGTTTCTCAAATGTTTTTGACAATCCTGCTCTTGATTTAAATGATTCTGCAAATAATATTCCTATTACATTAGATTTTGGTTTTGAAGTATCAAGAATTAAAAATGGAATGGAAAATGGTGCTCTAGATTTATCGGATGAAAATTCGAATAAAAAGCGGGTAACTTTTAATGCTCAAGTAGAGTATAGTTCGGATACTCCTAAAAAGAAAAAGAAAAAGAAAAAACTAGATAAATATGAAGTAGCGAATGAAAAATGGAAAAGAATACATAAAACAGTAGAATCTATGGCTTTTATTAATGAAGCGATAGATGAGGAAATAACAAATATAGAAGAAATGGACAATGAACTTAATGAAAGAAAAAGTAAAAAGTGTAAACGTAAAAAAGAACGAAGAATATCATTGTTAGAAACAATTGATGAAACTCCAGAAGAAGAAAATTTGGATGAAACTCCAATAATTATAGGCAAATCTGAAAAGAAAGATGATTATAAGGAAATAGAATTTAAAGATAAATTAAATGAAACTATGGCTGAAGACTTTCAAGAGATTCCGGTTGAAATTTTACTTCATAAGAAAAAGAAGAAAAAGAAGAAAATTTTAAAAGAAACATTAAATAAACTCGATGAATCAGAGGAAATAAATGTAACAGAAGGGCAAAAAGAAATAATGAATACTTCTGTAGAATTAACTAATCAAATTAAACAAAGAAAGAAACAAGTTACAAAGAACAAATTAAATTATCCTGAACAAGATAATATTTGTAATTACAATGAAGAAACAGATAAAACAGATTGTACTACAGTAGATAAAAATATTCAAATTTCTTCAAATCAAGATATCCTTGAATCAGAGCAATTAAACAAAAACAATCAAGAAACAAATACAAATTTGAAAATGGGTGGTGAATTTTGCATGATGAATAAAATAGAAACAGATCCGAATAATAAAGTTAATTACACTAATAATTATTTTAACAACCGTCGTAGATTGAAAAAATCAAAAGAAATGATAAAATCATTATTTAAACAAAATCCAATTTTAATGTTTAATGGCTCTAATATTAACGAAATAAAGGGATATGAATATTATTAAATTTTATATTTTTTTAAACTTTTTTACTGTAGTTATTGTAAAAAATTTAATTAATTCAAATTATTCATTAAATGTACTTTGTGCTTTAATGGAATTACTAGAGTAATACAATTACAAATAGAAAATTCAAGTTATAATATAATTTTGTATCTATTTATTGCACTTCTGTAAATATCTATACTTATTATCATTACTGTATAGATAATTAAGATTGCAATTTTATATATGTATAATGTAGTAATAATTTATATGTAACATATGTTAATAAAATTTATTGCTAAGCATTTTTAAATAATTATAAATCAATATAATTCTATTTTTTATTTTTATACTATTCAAATATTTATATTACAGAGATTTTAAAATTAATAATTTAATAAGTAATTAATATATGAGATTGTTATTAGATACTTATTAATATATGGGAATACTTATATTAATAATTAAAAGGATGAAATAAAATAAATATTTATATAAAAATTAAAAATAATTCAAACGTATTTTATTAAAATACAATAAATTATAAAACAATAATGTGAGGTTTTTTTATATTTTTATTTTGCAGAAATTTCTAATATAGAAAGAATTTGTAAATACTCGAATATATCAAATAATTATTCTTGGCTTTGATGAATTATTTTAATTCTTTGTATTCAATTTTTATTATAAATTTATTTATTTATGGTATAATTCATTTCTATTAACTTTCTTCAATATTAAATACGATGACTATCATTACAGTTTTTTGTATTAAAAAATTTATATTGAAATTCGTATTATAATTTATATATTGATTTAAATAATAAATATATTACAAATTCATTAATCTTTCTTCAACCATTTTATAATATGTAAAAAATTTACAAGATTATAATAAGTTTTTGTAAGATTTTTTGCTTTTTTCAAAGTCAATATTATTTTTAATTATTTATAAAAATATTGATTTGTCATCGTTAGACAATTTTTTCATGCAATATTTTTTCATCAACTTCCAATAATTATAATCAGACAATATCAATATTTTTTGTTAATAAGAATTTGAAAGTTTTACCATCCAGTTTAAAAAGCAGAAATCTGAATCTGCTGTCACAGCTAAAATATTATTTTTGTACAATTTTTTGTACTTTTTAGTTTTTTGTTTTTGTTTCATTAATGCTTTTGTAATTAATAACTTTGTATAACAGGCTTGTATTAATTGTTTTTTCATTTTTTTAAATTTGAAATATTTTCTACTAGACACTTTGTTTGCATATAGAAAACGAATATGTCTATTAGATGCTTTGGCTTTACATTGAGGACATCGGCGTGCTAATCTGTTATTTGAATTTATCCATTGTTTAATACATTTGTAACCAAACATATGGCCACAACGTAAAGCACATAATCGATGATTGCCTGAGTCTGTCCATGCATCTAAACAAATTGGACACTTTTGAGAAGGATCGACACTTTCCTCTCTATCGGATTTTTTTATTACATTTACCAAGTTTACTTGATTTGTTTCTGTAACAGAAATAATATTCTAATTTACAGTGCATTATAATATTGATTTTATTATAAAACAAGTTTCAAATAAGATTATAATATATATATATATATATATATATATATATATATATATATATATATATATTCATATAAATTTTAATTAATCGTTGATTTTCAAACTTCTATATAACTTAATTCAATGTCATTCATTCTTCAATTGATTAAATTGAATTTTTAAAATAAGATTAAGTTCATATTTATTGGAATGAATAAAATCTGTTTTAGTAAATTATCGATTTTTATTTGAAAATTAATCGAAATAATTATAAAATAAATTTTTTTCAATTTTATATTTATTCTAACTTGATATTTTCTTAGTTATATAAAAAGTTGATTATTCATATATCATAATTTCTACTACAACAACAATATTTTAAATAAATACTCCAATTTAGTTGTATTAAAGATATTAATATTAATAAATATTGCATCGCCTTAAATATTTAATAGAAACTTTTAATTTAATTTTTTGAATAAACTTTGAATAAACTTTTATATTCTATATCTGGAACTTGATGATCATAATTTTTTAAATTATATTCAATTCCACTTGCATTCAGATCTGTTTGTGTTGATATTTCTGAAGTAAATTTTTTTTCGTGTTTTTCATTGAAATTTTTATCAATAATAATATTCCTTTTGAGAAAAGTGAAAAAATTGAAAAGTTAAAATTCTAAGCGAAACAAATTTAACATGATATCAAATAAGAAATAATAATAAATGCTTACCAATAATTATTTAATTCTGACGCCATGTATACTTTCAATTTATTTTATTAAAATATTAATAATCTTTGTATTACCTATTTAATTTTCTTTCATAAACAAGTAATTGTAAAGTTATTTAATCCTACTGTAACCATATCTATATCGAAGCACATTTACGTATATTCTATAATTTATAAAACTTCAAATTCCTCAGAATTATTTTACAGTTTAATCGAAATGTAAATTTATTTTAAGTCACAAAACTAAGTTTTCACCATTTTATGTATTGAAATGAAAATATGCCAAAATTATAACCTCATGTCTATCTTTTATTAATTGCATATAAAATTATATTGCACAAATATCCTTAAAAGAAAGACATTCCTCATGGTGTCATTATTGAAAAATCTACTATCAAGAGAAAAACAAAAGTTGTATTTGACGACTTGACTAAAACTTCAAGGAGCTTTTCTATCAAGAATATATGCCATAAAGATCATGATAAGAATTCAGGATTTTTCAGGAAAAATATTTGTTTAAAATCTATATTTTTTATAAAAAATTGTATTCCATTTTAAACTAAATATATTACGGAAATTTTCTGCAAATATTATATAACTTTTATAAAAATGTACTTAAGCATACTTTGTTTAAAATAATGATTTCCATTAGTCGTAAGAAAAGCAATTAAGTTAGATAATTGATTAATTTCCAAAACACCAAATCGAAAGTACGGCTAATAATAAAATATCAGAAAAAAAACAAAAATAAAAATGTTTTTTACTAAAAATATTTGTATTTTATAATATAAAATTAATTTAGTTATATTAACAATTACAAAAAAAAGTATCGATGTTAACGGAAAATTATTATTATAATAATATAAATGAAAATTAATAATCTTATATGTGTGTGCAATTGAAATTAATCTACGTATATTTGTTAATTCTTTTTTTTATTCATTGACGCTTATGTTCATTTATTCGTTACAATAATTATTAAAAAAAATAAACATTTAAAAAGATGAATAAATATCACATGATTGAAGATTTTAATTTAGAATAAAACAAAATAAATTAAAAAAAATCAATTATAAACAGCGATGGTTTTAGATAAATACAGTATTTTTCATTTTTTTTTTGTTTTGTTTTTTGTATTTCGTTAGGGCACTTCTTTTTAATTTGTAAAATATTTATGCATATAATTATTCATTTAAGACAATATTTAAAAAAATTATTCACTATTTATCCCATAACAAATTTTCAATTTGACTTATATAGAATATATATATATATATATATTGTTATAATAGTATATTGTCGTTAAAATAATTTTATTTTATTAAATTTAGTAAAATTTTTTATTATGCTGTTAGTTTTTTTAGTTAATATGATTCAAATTTTACTGTTTTGAAAAAATAATTTTATATATTAATAATTATATCAAAAATAAAAAAATTTGATTTTATAATATTATATTTTCAGAACATTATTACGAATTTATCGATGATTATTTTAAACGTTTTATTAATAATATAGAAATATTAATTATTCATAGGAATGTATGTTTGATTTATTTTAAAGAAATTAATATTCTTGATTACTCATTTATCTCACTATTATCTTCTTTTACCACGGTTATTTTTGTTTTCAATTGCTAATTTATATATATTTATTCAATATACATATACAAATTTGTATGTGATCTCTGTTAAATGATTTGTGCGTATGAGCATAGGAGATAAGATTAAATAAAAATAAAAATAAATTCTTATAATTATCAAGTTATGGAAAAAAAATTGTTTCCTAGTAATCGATCCTAATATTAGTAAGAAAATTTTGATAATTGAAAATGGATAACTGATCTAAATTATATTTATGCATACTTTTTATATTACTTTGTTTAAGATATTTTATTTTCTAATTTGATTCTTATGGATATTGAATTATTGTTGATAAACTTTTCTTATTCTACCAAGGTTTTGTACATTACTGGATCTCTTAAACAAACGAAAAAATAATCTTGATAATTATTGACATTCTAGCTTACATAATTAAATTTTTTATCGAACAATTTTACAAGTGTGTTCTTCATCAAATTATATTACATCTATATTCTCTAATCAATCGGTTAAAAATTATAAAATAAAATAAAAACTTATACAAATATAAAATATAAAAATGAATGTACAAGTAAATCTGTCGATGGTACGTTTTCGTTTACTGCATTTTTCTATGGTTTAGTGAAGGTTTCGTAAATCAATACATCCTATGTAGTTAGGCGAATTATGGACATCTGACTATATTATTTTTGTTTTATTATTTATTTATGCTTAAGTTTCCAAAGTTTAAGGATTATTTTAATTTTATTATTATTTTAATTTTTGAATTTTTCTACAATTTTCTTGCTGTTTCTTCCACATAACATCAATGAATTCATTTCTATTATTTGAAAAAGT